GATAGGGGGCTGGAGAGATAGCTCAGCGGTTAAGAACACTGGTTGTTCTTGCAGAAGACCGGGGTTTGAATCCCAGCACCAAGATGGCAGCTAACAACTGTCCATAACTCCAGTCCCAGGGGAGCCGACAGACTCTTCTGACCTCTGCAGGCATTGCACGACATGGGTGCACTTATCTACATGCAGGCAATACTTTCAAACACATAAAATAATAGAAAAATTATTTTAGCATTGCATACCAGCAAATAAATCACAATCTCTCCATATTTACTTCTTTAATAATAAAATGGAGATACCTGTCTTGTTAGCTCAGGGTTGTTAAAGTAAATGAGACAGTATATGAAAATTTCATACCAAGTATTCTTAAAACAAGCCAGATCTCAGTACTGTAATCCCACCTACTCAGGAAACTGAGGAAGAAGAATTACAAGTTCAAGGCACGATTTACAAGTTCACTTCTAGGACACAGAGTGAGTTCAAGGTCTTCCTGTGCAAACACACTAAAAAGTAAATAGATGCTGGAGACTGAGGAAATGGCTCAGCAGAAGAGTGCTCACTACATTTGCGTGAGGGCCTGAAATTAAATCCTCTACCCTGGAAAAAGTTTGGGCATGGCCATGTTTGCCTGTAACCTGGGGCTTGCTGCACGCTAGTCTAGCTCCAGGTTCAGTGAGAGACCCTGTCTCAAGGGAGTAAGACAGAGTGATAAGGCAGGGAATCGGACATCCTCCTCTGGTCTCAATGCATACACACCTGTACACAACACCAAACTATACAGCAAAACCACATAACACACACATATACCCACACACATATACCACTCAATACATCAAACACACCATCCCTCCAAAACAACAACAACAAAAAGTCAACCAGGGACATAGCTCAGTGGTAGTGTATTTGCTTATTATGTATGGCTGTGGTTCAATCCTAGTGTCAGGGAGGAAAATGCTAAAAAATAAAACGAGTCTAATTTTCACTTGAGATTATTTCCAGAACATGTCAATGTTAAATGCTCTTTTTCCCAAGTGTATGAAAAATTATTTAATAAGGACACTTCTTGAGGTAATGGAAAATCTGCATATGTAGAATAAACTTCAGAGGACATTATTGCTCATTTCCTCAGCTGTAATGTCATTATGATTATATATACTCATGCCCTTACTCTATGAAGATGTATGCAAAATATGGAAGGTAAACTCTTCATGATACCTACAGCCCATTTTCATATGGGCCAATTAAAAACACAAATCAACAGATATAAAGAAAATTTAACAAAATATTAAATATAGTAGAGGATATGAAGATGCTGTTCACTTTGTTATCTTTTCTGCACATCAGAAAATTGTCCTAATAAAGTTGAAGGAAAGCGACAAACAGGCTCCCTTTATGAATGAAACCCAAATGGGTCTGGTCAGTATTCAAACTGAGAACTTGGACTTTACAACTGAGAATTTCATTCACTGTCAATTAAACTGGCAAGAGGATTTGATTAACACATCATTGCTTTTTTGGCTACTGTTAAGACAGCTCACTACAACAACTTTTTAAAGTATTTAGCTTCTGGAAAATGTAGCTAAGAGTTTAGTTTCTATTAAATACTTGAAGATCCTTAATAAGAGTTTAATAAATGGCTCGGAAATGAGGTTGTTCAAATGTGTTCAAATGTGAAACTTACAATTATGTAATTCTGGATCTCAATACATAAGGGCTCTACTATGCTGCCGTTTCATCGTTTAGATTTTTTTTCCTCACAGATAATGTAATACAAGAATTTACCATATTTTTACATGTAATATAGTTTTTGGTGCTTCTTTTTAAGTTATATGGGCTTATATCAAACAGAAACAAAACTGTGCCTCATAAAGTGATAATGGATTTAGTTTTTGTCTTGCCGTCTTTTTTTCAGCAAGCCCAGGAAGCAAGTCTCTTGACAAAACTGTTATTGTTTTTGAGACAAAAGAGTACAGCACAGCATGCATGTTCTATGCTGGTGTAATTAGTAGCTCAAACATTAACAAAACGTGAGTTGCCGAGAATATTGTTGAGTGGCTTACTCTCCAATCATAATAAAATGAAAAGGAATACCTCAACCAAAATACAGAGTAAATACTAGGATCTTCAATCATTTTTAAAGTATTCCAAATACACAAAAGGAATCATATGCAAAAGATAGAAAAAGACTGCATCAAAATGTTCTATATGCAATAATGTGTTTCACTACTTAATCTGACAATAAATGACTTGGCATTTGTTAGTTTTAAAAAAATTAATTCTTTTTTATATTATTTCTGTGTATGTGTGTACATGCAGGCACCACAGTGTGTGTGCAGAGGTCAGAGGGCAACTTGACGGAGTCTCAGTTCTCTCCTTTGACCACGTGGGTTCTGGGGATTGAACTCCTGTCGTCAGGCTTGACTCAGTGAGCCATTGAGCTTTCATTGTTAGTTTTTGTTGTTGTTTTTTTTTTTTTCTTTTTCAGACACGGTTTCCAGGCCTGGAACTCACTATGTAGAGAAGGCTGGCTTTGAACTCACAGAGATCCACCTGCTTCTGCCTCCCAAGTGCTGGGCTAAAGGCATGAGCCACCATGCCCAGCTTTCACTGTTAGGTTTCTTTTTTGAATATTTTACTTATTATTTTTATTTTATGTGTATGAGTGTATTGTGTGCATGTATGTGAGTGCACCGGTGTTGTGCAATGCCACAGAGGTCAGAAGAGGGCTTCAGATTCCTCTGGAACTGGAGTTAGGATGGTTCATAGCTGCTATGTGGGTGTTGGGAATCGCTCCAGGTCCTCTGTAAGAGCAGTCAGTGCTCTTAACCACTGAGCCATCTCTCCAGCCCCTCACTGTTAGTTTTTTGAGACAGAAATCTATACTTATTTTCAGTGCCTCTAAATGTCTTATTTGCTTGCTTTTAATTAAAATGGACAAAGTAACTGGATGTGGTAGTATCTACACTCAGGAGGCAGAGACAGAGGGGAGGCAGAGGCAAGTTTATGTGAGTTTGAGGCCAGCCTCTACCACAGGGTTCCACACCAGCCAAGGAGACCCTGTCTCAAAAAAATAACACTAAATAACAAAGTCTGGGCAGGGGGTAAAACTTGATACTTGCTGAGCATCAACAAGGCTGTTGTTTCAATTCCCACACCACCATCACACACAAATCTGATGTGTTATGACATTAGAGGACAAAGGAGGACTTAAAAATAACTTATGGGATTGGATAGTTTGCTCAGCAGTTAAAAGCATTTGTTGCTCTGGCAGAGGGCCAGGTTCAGTTCTCAGCACGCACATGACAGCTCACAACTGCCTGTAACTCCAGTTCCAGGGAATCTTATGCCCTCTTCTGGCTTCTGTGGGCACTGCACGCATATGGTACATTGTTATATATGGAGATAAACACTCATACACATATAACAAAAAATCTTAAAATTAAGGTTTCTCATAAGGGCTGGGCAAAATCCCTCAGTTTATTAAGGTTATAGTACTGCTTTTTAAAAAATATTTTATTCATTATTTTTATTTTGTATGAGTGTATTGCCTGTTAATATACAAGTGCACCCATGTCATGCAATGCCCGCAGAGGTCAGAAGAGGGCATCGGATTCCCCTGGAACTGGAGCTTCAGAGAGTTGTTAGCCACTACGTGCTGGGAATTGAACCAAGGTCCTCTGCAAGAGTAGCCAGTGGTCTTAACTGCTGAGCCATTTCTCCAGCCTCTAAGGCTGTTACTTCTTAAAAAGTCATATTATAGCCCCAAAATGTACTTTTTCTAAGGATTTTTTTTTAAGTACGTGATACTTATTACAGTATCAGGAAATAAAGAATATGCTTTTTTGCTTCAATGTACCTAAGACTAGGATTTGATTTTTAAAAAGGTGATGAAATGAATATAAACATAAATATATGTAAAATATGTACAATGTTTTACATAACATGATATAATAACCATGTAATGCACATAAGTGTTTTTTTTCAGTACTTAATTTAACAAAACGATCTTTGTTCCTCTAAAATTCTTATTTCTTGTTCTTTCATAATTCTAAACAAGTCTCCTGCTCTTGAAAGAACATGGAAGAAGGGGAAAGAGAAACAGAACAATAACAAAAAATCAACAAAAGATTTCATTAGGTTATAATCCTGTATATACCTCCATTCAAAAAAGCCATCACAGCCAGGCATGGTGGCACAACGCCTTTACCAGCACTCTCCTGGGAGGCAGAGGCAGGTGGATCTCTGTGAGCTCAAGGCCAGCCTGGTCTACATAGTAAATTCCAGGCCAGCTCTACTACAGGGAGATCCTGTCTCAAAAAGACCAAACCAAACCAAAAAAAAAATATCAATCATACAATTGCAGCATTTTAGGGTGTACAGGGACCTAAAAGCAGTTTAATTTGCTTGTTATACATATAGGTTGTTACAAGTCACTAGCAGTGACTCCTAGTTTAGTAGGCTTGTACTGTACTGTCTCCCCGTATATATTCCTGTATTACCAGAACCAGAAGTTCTGAATGATGGTTTTGCAAATATATGGTACAATATTAACCATTTGGTATTAGAAAACAAACTGATATTCCTCTAGCCCAAGGCTTTAAGCCATCTGATCAACTTTTATTGGAGAAAGAATGTCTCTGTAGTGTCATATGAAAAGTCAAACAACTACTAACTCTGCCCTTCCTGCTACCTAAGTACTAGGCTCTACGACTGCTCACCCTACAAATACTTAGCACATACTTAACTAGGCACTCAGGTCTCATAAACCATAATTTTCACAGTATATCATGTAAAAAGTATTTGTTGTACTTACTCCATTTGCAATTTCATAAAGTTAAGAAAAAAGATTTTTAATTATGTGCATGGGTGTCTCTGTGTGAGTACATGCACATGAGTGCAAGTACCTGTGGAGGCCAGGAGGCATAAGATTCCCTAGAGCTGGAGTTACAGGAAGTTGTGAGCCACTCAACATGGGTGCTGAGAACTAAATTCAGGTCCTCTGCAAGAACACTAATCACTGTTAACCACTGAGCCATCTCTCCAGCCCTAATTTTATATTTATTTACATTGATCTGATTCATTCCTGTTACCATAACCTTAAGGACTGAGAGGATATCTGTATTTGGTTACTGATATATTAGTAGTGCTTAGAATAATACACACAAACATGCAAGTGCTCAGTGAATGAAGGAATGGGTAGACCAAAAGGGCTTTCCATAATACTACTCTTATTGATTGAGCTTTGAAAAACTAAAACATTATGTGGCAATTATAAAAACTATGCAGGAAAGCAAGAGGCTATATACACATGGGAGGAAAGGGTTGAGGGAACAGAAACTGAAAAGCCTGTGCAAAGGCTCAGAGGAGTACTGAAACAGGACACTGCAAACAAAACAAAGGGAGGGAATGATGGAGAAGTACACAGCAACCTGGTCTTGACGGTCCTGCTGATGAGGTGAGGAAGTCTGTTTGTGTCCTAAAAGCAGGAGGAAAACACTCAAATATTTTAAAGGTGTGGTAAGAAAGTAAAGGTAGCATAAAACAGATCTCTGTGCTAACAGAAGTAGGACCATTGCAGCTATGGTGGCCAAGGAGATGGTATTGCAGTAACAGACAAGACAATGCAACATAGCATAACATGGCAGGGGTAAGAAGAAAGAAAGGTGAATTCAAGAGACCTTTAGAAGTAAAACCTCAGGACCAAAGTGGGTAGAGAGGTCTAAGAGAGGAGTGTTAGAAGACACTGGCTTCTGGCAGGCTTACTAGACTGAAAGAGGGGCCAATTCCTAAAACAAGCACCACTAGAAAAGGACCACACAGGGATGGGGAAGACAGAGAACTCAGTTTGAACAGTTTAAGAACTAAAGGCCAAGGATGAGAACTTTAATACATATATGGAATGCAGAGATGAGCAAATTGGTATAGGAGGGAAATAGAGATTTCTACTAATTTCCAGATAAGTTCTGAAATTTAGGGTTGAAGTACACAACTACATGCCTATTTTCTTTGATACCTGACGTTAACCATTCACATCTCCTCAGCATACTATCAATGTCGTCTCACAGCTCAGATAACAGGCCTCTACAATGAACAGCAAGGAATAGGGAACTTCTATTTTATCCTTGCCCTGGCTACCTTACAGGGAAGCAGGCAGCTGTTAAAACTGCTTAGAAATGGCAGTTCATTATCTGGCTAGGCTAAGAAAAGACACTATCATAATCCTACATGTGGATGAGTTTATGAATAATATGGGGGAAAGGGAAGAGGATAATTCCCATTATTTTCATGGGTGCTTCAACCATGTCTCCTACAACCAATTAACTTCAAGGGATCTAATGGGCAGACTAGCACATGTAATTCATTCCCACATTCTACTCACTACGTACTCACTGAATGGCTAGTATCCTACTGCACTGTTGATTTAAAAAAAAAGGATGAAAGTGAGGATTCAAGCTTCCATGTTAAGAAAATAGAACCTCTCCTGAGGCAAACCCCAAAGTTTACAAATGAGGTGGTACTGGCATTTCAAAAGTGACATTCTACCATCATATGATTAAGTCTCATGTTTCAATGTCATGTTATAAAAAGGCATCACTTTGGCTAAGTTGTGCAATTAACTGAAATAACTCATGTTTAGTGTTTAGTTCAGGGCTGGTAGATAATGTCTATCAACCAATGTTATCTTTCCACAATGCAACCAGATAAAAATGTATCTGTCATATTATCATGGACTACACACACTGTAAAGAGTATAAATCAATAGACTCCTTTAAAACTATCTGGATATTTAATTTTTTAAAAAAAATGATAAAATAGGGAAAGGTATTCTATCTTTTGAACAAGGAAAAGTTTATAGCTTTTTAAAAATTCAGTTGAAAATGTAACGACCAAAATATCAGTAACATATAAACAATCATGAAACATCTTACATATGCATATATGTATTATGCAATACTATACTTCAACATTAAAGGGGAAAAAAATCTTATCTAATAGCCAGAGTAAAAGTCATATACTCACTTGTCAACTGAGCTCTGGATAATTTTTCACTACAACTATAGCCAGGACTGCTCTCCTGCAGTTTTAGCCATTCCTGGGCTTGGAATAGGTAGAGTTTAGCTTCTTTGCCAAGAGCTACTGCTATGTTGTTGATTCTGACACACAGAAGGGCATGGTCACCTTGAAATTAAACAAAAAACATCAACTAGTTTGGTCCTGCAGAGAACTGACAGTAGGCCAAGTCAACACTTCTACCCATCAAAATGAATATAGTGTATCTATATAATTCCACTGGTAAGTGTTAATGGTTCACTAAATAAACAGCAAGATCTGCAATAGTGGGATATTCATTTTAACAGAATTTATGCCTTGTTTTCCAATCACTCCACGTCTTATTTGTTCATAAACTAGAAAGATGTCTTGCTAATGTGTCTGTTTTTTTCAAAATACTATGTAGAAAATACTATGGCAATTAGTACTTAATAACATTTTAATGTGAAAATAAGCATAAATAATACAAGAAAGTTTAAAAACATGTATTTGGGGGCGCCTATTTTACATCCGAAACAAAGCTTTACAGTCATGACTTTTACAAAAGAAGTTAAGAAAATACCAGATGAATAATAGCTTGACTGCACACAGAACTAGAGTTAAGATCCAGTACAGACATGGTTGTAGGGTGTGGTGGTGCACATCTTTAATCCTAGCTCTCAGGAGGCAGAGGCAGGAAGATCTCTTGAGTTCAAGGCCAGCATGGTCTGCATAGCAAATTCCAATCTAGCCAGAGCTACACAGCGAGACCCTTTCTCAAAACAAAACAAAAAACCCCAAACTCAGCAAAAAATAGTAGGGGACTCTGGGATGAAGAGCTAAACCAGGAGGCTGCCTTTCATTTCACATTTTACCATCTACTATTCTTTTGGTTCATAAATTTTGTTATTAGAATTAGTTTTGGTTATACATTTTAAATAGTTAATATGTACAGCATAAAGAATATCTCTTACATAAATTGGTTACACATAAATTATCAAGTGACCCTGAAGTTCACTATAACTTTAAATTGTCTTGAGTTCTACTTCACTGTTTCAGATAATTTTACTATAATCAATTGGAATGAACTGAAAACTGGTAATAACTATGATTATGAGAATTATGTGTATAATAACAAAAAGAGAAAAAATACAGTTGGAAAACCTTTCTCCAATCTGTTATAAGATTTACTCAAATTAGCATGCATAATTCCCCTGATATATAACATTTCCTTGAATCAAAAGGCATTATCTGGGGCATTTGATAACCTTGATTTAGCACATGCTTCTCCTCCACGTATACAAAGCAATCAGGACCAGGGTTGTCTGTCAGTTGTGAACAGCATTATTTTTGATTTACCAAGCACGGTTCAGACTGCCATCTATCACAGTGACATCATTATCACTGTCCATTCTCAAAGTACCGTTACAATGAGTTAAGAAAATGAAACGTAACCAAACTACAATAAAACTTTATTAATGAAGAGTCTCTTCTTTCTTCATCCAGGTATTTCACATTTTGGAAAACTGGAGTGTTTTTGCTCAGATACTGTAAAAACTCCCGGTTTAGTTTTTTAAAACCAGCTGCTTCTTTTAATACCATGAAATCTACAATTTCCCAGGCCCTTTATTTCTTCCTCACACCAGATTAGCTTCTCACTATTAAGCGCCCTTTTAGGTTGATATACTGACATCCATAGTTAAATCTAACACAACTCAAGATTACATAAGCCGAAGTCCTAACTTCATCAAGATAAGTCATTTGAAACGCAATACGAGCCAAAATGAGTGCCAAGAAAAACACTCAAGTGAGGCAAAATTAACAGAATGAATTGCAAATTCATCAGCTAGAGAGTATCGATTTTTCTGAGAGACACCAGGAAGTACGAATCAAACATAGCTTCTTCAGATAGGTCATAAAAATGATCAATTACGAAATTTGCGGTACACTATACACTTACACGGATCCACCAACTGAACTCTGGGCCCATTGTAAATCTACTGCACCCGTAGCCTGGTAACCGAACCGTTGTGGCAATAGTTTAGATCCCAACTCCGCTCCAAGGTTATCTAATCGGTTTTACAAACAGGAAATCTACATTCTTGGGCTTACATTCACAAGTAAACTACAGGAAGTCTTTAAGTACGTGATCAGGCCGAGTGGGCAGCCGGCAAACGGTGCTTGGGGGAAAGGATCTGGAGACGCAGGCGAGCGGTCATGTGTTTGTGTGGGGACGCTTGGGGAGCCGGAAACCGGCTTTCAGGTACATTAAGCAGCGGCCCGGGCAGCAGCAACAGTGGGGCTGGCCCTTCACGCGGCGATGAAGGCACCGGACGGCGGTGACGCTGAAATGCAGGTGAGGCCGGGGCCGACGTGGCGGGGAGGGCAGCGCCGCGGCCCCAGCCAACCCGACCCCGGGGCGGAGACAGTGGCCGCGGGCCTCCCGCGCGCCTCCATCCCTCCGCCCGGCCCGGACCTACCGTGGAACTCGAAGTGGCCGATGCTCTGGCCCTGAGCGTTGCGGGCCGCGGCGCTACTGAAGCTGCCCCGCAGGGTCTTGGCCTGGCTGCCCTGCGGCCACCAGCAGCACGTGAGGGCTACCGCCAGCAGCCGCAGGCCACCCATGCCCGCCGCCCGCTCCACAGCCACTCACAGCTAACCTCCCGCAGCCGGCAGACCCACGTCGGCAGCCACTGGCGGGGCGGGGAGGGGCGGGATGCTGGGAGACTGACAGCGAATGAGGCACGAGGTTTGCGCCACGAGCAGAGGACAGTAGCCAATCACCGGCCGCGGTGGGCGTGACGTGCAGATCCGCGCGTCCCATCCCTCCCCGGTCTTTCGGCTAGTTCCCGCCTTTTTTTAGAAGGAGAACGAGGTTGCTTCGGGGACCCTGTGCCACTACGCATGCTCACGTGCTGTCACTAGTCCCCAGGCTTTTCAGCAAATAACTGAGAAATGCATGTATTAGTATTTGGGGATTTAAAAATTATTATAGGCCGGGCGTGGTGGTGCAAGCCTTTAATCCCAGCACTTGGGAGGCAGAGGCAGGCGGATCTTTGTGTGTTCAAGGCCAGCCTGGTCTACATAGTGAGTTCCAGGTCAGCTGGGGCTACAAGGAGACCCTGTCTCAAAAAGACAAAAATAAACAAACAAATAAATAAATAAATAAATTGTTATAATAGTTCTTTTTCAATCTAAGAGTCATGAACAGGCATGGTAGCACACTGCTTTAATTCCAGCATTCAGGAGGCAGAGCCAGGAAGATCTCTGTGAGTTTGAGGCCAACCTGGTCTACACAGTGAGTTCCAGGCTACTTGGGGCTCCATAAGACACTGTCTCACACAAAAAAGGAATTCATGCAGATTAGAAGAATATTTACAGTAAAAAGTGTATAAAGTTAACATTTTAAGTTTCTAGTTTCTCATTTCCCTGCCTGTATTCAATACTGAAAGGTAACCTTTGTCAGTACTTTCAGGCAAATCTTTACACATACATGTGATGTTAAACTAAATTTGCCTGCAGACTGTTCCCAGTATTTTGAATTCCTACATGAAGACTGCGTCCTAACTCAGTGTATAACAAGCCTATCAGGCTGATCCAATCACAGGCAATCAATTGATTAGACTATGTCTATATAGAAGATTCATTGTACCATGGTTCCCTCTGAAAAGGCACAATTGGAGCTATACCCTGTGAAGCCTTTTCTAAAATGGCACTTTTTTTTTTTTTTTGAGGGAGGTGTCCTGTATATATTGACTGCCTATGTTGCTGGATGGTGCTCTCTTTTCTCCTTTTGCCTGACTTGTTCACCATTCTTTGCTAAAATAAACTCTGCTCAATTTAATTTTCCTCGAGTTTTTTTTTTCTTTTCTTTTCTTTTATTAGTATTGTTGGTATGCCAAGGACAGGGATAAGATTGGTCCTGAATGAAAAACAGAACACGGGTCTTGAATACTGTAGGCACTTTCCGTCCACCTTTTGTATTTCTTCATCAGCAATGTTGTCTCTCACTGAGCACTGGCTTTTGGTTCCTCAATTCCCTTGAAAGAATAGGACTGCCATCTGTCCCAATTGGTAGATCCTCAGAATTTATGAAGTGCAAGCAGACTATACTAGAACCTTAGTGCTAATATATCAGGGGCAGTAAGCAATTACATCATCAATTTATATGCTGACAAATGTTTATTCTCTGCTAGATCTGGTCCCAGGGAAACAAAAATCCTTCTATCTGTGGATCGGAGACAGTGAGCAATTCAATTGCATCATCCATCTACATATTGATGAATGCTAATAAGAAAAACAAAAACAACATTGTTCTGCACGGTTAGGGTAGAGATTGCTGTTTGAGTCAAGGAAAGACTCCAGTAGGATGATACTCAGCCTGAGAACTGAAGAAGTATGGGTAAAAACTAGTTAGATGCCTGAGGAAAGAGCATTTAGGCCTGGGGAAGGTGCATGCCTTGCTAATAACACAAGTACAAACGAGGAAGACCAGGATGCTGGGGCAGAGAGCAAGGGAGAGAACAGAGTAAGATCTAAAGGGGGGAAAGACGAAACATCTTTGTCTTGATTGCAAGTAGCCTGTTCTGTGATCATATTAACAGTAGAAGATAATTTTGCGACCGCTGCAAACATTCCCGAGGTGTCTGCCCCGCTGGTGGGTAATCTCTGGAGATGGCCGAAGTGCAACAATAAAGACATTCATTCATAACTCCAAACTTCGTTGTATCTACAGAAAAAAGGCTTAAACCATGCTGGTGACACTGGCCTACGAAATGTTCAGACCCAGTTTCTGCTAGTTGGCTGGTGAAAGGGCCTGCACCTGCGCAGTGGCAGTGGGCGGCCCCGCTCACGGGGCAGTGCTCCGAGACAATCCGGAAGCGAGCGCTTCCCTTCTACGTGTCAGGGGGAAAGGCTGCCGCAAAACGTCGTGGTGCTATAGCGCTCCGGCCTTTGGAGCCGATGCTTTACGGCGCTGGGGTTGCGAAGCTGGGCGATGTCGGCGGCCGGTCGGGTGGAGCCCTCTGGTCTTCCCTGCAGCTTTGCGAAGCGGGTCCTGGTGACCGGGGGTGCTGGTTTCATGTAGGTAACGGGGCCGGTGGTCGAGAAGTTTCTCCCCACAAACCCTAACCTTTCCTTGCGGCTCTGCTTGTCTCTGGCACTTGGGGGCCACAGCTTTGGGGATCCGATGTGGGGAGGGTCCTAATGCGCGGTCGGGACCGTGCTACAGTTTTCCTCTCTTCCTGGTTTTTCAAAGACGAGGTTGATTTGAAGCTCCGACTTTACCACCAACTCCCCTCCCCAGAAGACAGGCAGAAGCGCTGTGGTACTGTGCCCCCCTCCTGGCTGCCCGAAGATGTCACCACCTGTCACTTCTAGAGACCCATACATGAAACTCTTCATCTGCTGCCTCTCTCCTCAGCCGAGCCTTCACCACCACCACCACGTACTGGCCTTTGCATATCCGCACCCCTCAAACGATATGGGGATTGTGAAAGGACTCGTTTACTCAGCAAACTTTGAAAAATGCCGTTACTCCCAACCTGAGCTAGGTTCAAAACCACATAAGCCAGCCCTTTCCCTCTACAAAGTATATCCTTCACTACAATTCCCTCACCGCTGACCCCCCCCCCCCCTACCTTTGCCTCTGCTACCACTTTGTCTAGAATCCTACTATACTCTCCTAATTGATCTTAACTACGTCTTGTGACTATAGTCTGTTCCTCACATAGAAGTGTTTTGTTTTTTTTTTTCTTTTTTGTCTTTTTGAGACAGGGTCTCTCTGTAGCCCCAGCTGTCCTGGAACTCACTATGTAGACCAGGCTGGCCTTGAACTCACTGAAGTGTTTTTTAAGGAAATCGGATCATGCTACTGTTTAGAATTTTATTCTTGTGGTTTCTGTCAGACTTGGAATCAGGTTTATTCTTTATTAGATCTAGAAGACTCAAGTACTCAAGCCCTACTTTTTCAACCTAATCTTTGCTTTTCTGTATGAGTCAGGCTGACTGTTAGAGGACAACACGCTAGTGCCCTCCAGACTGGACACTCAGGCACTTGTTTCTTTTTTGCTTAGGCTCTAGTGCAAACAGTTCGTTATTTATCTAGGTATCACCTCAGAGTCTCTACTGGACCACCCTATCTAAAATAGATAACTAACACACTCAACACTACCTGAAATTATAGTGTATATGTGTGTTTACTTATTTATGGCCTTGTCCCCATTCTTGAATATAAACTCCACAAGGACAGACTGATGTTCATTAAGCACCTGCAGAAATGCCTCCTCCATTTTATTAGTTATTGAATGAATGAATGAATGAATGAATGAGTAATAAACAGGAGACGCCTACCCTCAGAGAACTCATTGTCTTCTGCGAGAAGAATGTACATGGATATCCTTGTTTACTGCCCACTAATATTACATAGACCTTTCTGATCTGTCACCTGGCAGACGGTCCAGAAAGCTGTGTCACTTAGCGAGCAAGAGTATGGATGTGAACATGTACTTGTACTTGCAACAAAGGGCTGGTACATAAATGATAGGTCCTAGAAAAGCCACGAAAGGACCACCAGGTACAAACTCTGTCTTCATAATTTGGTCAAGACCTTCCCATTACTCTCAGAAGCCCAAAGTTTCACATATTAGAAAATCTGGCAGATCATCTTACCAAGATATGCTTCTAGCTCCATTTCAGTGTGCTATCATGCACAGGAACCACTGTCAAGTACTGAACTCAAGATGATTTCAGCTGTTACTAGCCCAGGAAACTTGGGTTTATATCAGGACCCTCCAGAGGTTTCAAGCTTACACAACCAAATCCTTGTACCAAGAAAGGAGTTAGGGAAGTTACTAGAAACATAGACAAATGCCTTTGTTCATGTTGAAGTAATTTATGTATAATTTACATTGCAGTTCCTGAAAAGGCACATTGGATTCTGCAGTTGTTCTAACTAGATCTCATATTTTTCATCCTCCATTCTCACACTCAAAGTATGCATGGACAGCATCATTTGGTTAAACTGGCTTTTTCTTTATACTCAGGGGCAGTAAATCTTCTACCCAGAGCAAAATGAGTTTGTTTATAGGTAACTATTGAGAAATGTGGTTAAGAGGCCATAAGAGTTTGTGGATAGGATTGAGAAATTTGGTTTAAAAATATCTTTTTGGTGTGTTACATCATTTCTATTACCTTGGAAAAAATGTAAAGTTATCTTAGAATATTCTAATACAGCTTAAGAAAACTTCGGAATCTAGGGAGATTAATACTTTATACTCACAAGGTGTGCTTTTCTTTTAGTGCATCACATGTGACTGTCTCTTTAGTGGAAGATTATCCAAACTATATGATCATAAATCTCGACAAGGTAAGGATTGCAAATAAGCCTCATGCACTGAAATTGCATCTTAATTTGATTGCACCTTTTAAAACTACTAGGGTACTCTTAGAAGTACATTAGAGAACTAAAGAGTAGTGAGGCATACTATTCCTATTTTTTTTTTTTTTTTTACATTTAGTCATTTTAATTCTTAGGGTCTGTATTGTCATGTGCTCATGCTGTATTTAATCTTGGGTAAAAACTTTTGAAGTTCATTTATTATCTAACCCATAAAGTTAGGGTTTTAAGTACAGTATTTTTACCAAAAGAAAAGCTTTACCCTTTCTAAATTTAGTATTTATTGTAATATTGTGATTACTAACCCTTTCAGTAATGACTTTTTAAACTTAATTATCTAACCATTTGATTTTATAACTCGACCTCCTGGAAAGTCACACACACACACACACACACAGAGATGTATGTATATACTTTTCGATATTAAAATGTAATTAAAACTAGATATGATGGCATATGCCTGTAACTATAGTACTAGGTAGTAGAGGCAGGAGGATCAGAAGCTCAAGGTCATCCTTGGCTACATAGCAAGTTCAAAACCAGGGTGGGAATGCATGAGATTCTATCTACAAACAAACAGAAAGTAATTAATTTAGTCCGGAGAATCTTGTAGTATTAATTGAAGTCTCCCTGCCTGAAGAATGTGAAAGCCATGATCTGTAATCACTGGATCTTTGAGTTTAAACAAGATGCAAATGGTTATTTTAATTTCATAAAATGTAATAGTGAAAATGTATAGGTCAAGAATAATCCTTAACTCTTGGATTGATTTGGGGGGGGGTTGGCCTTACTGTTATGAACAGATGAACAGGATCATTTTTTATTCCTTTTTATTTTGTTCGTTTATTGGGGGGACGGTGTGGGGGAGATATGTGCCACAGCTTGCATATAGAAGTCAGAGGACAGTTTGAGGGAGTCAATTTTCTCTTTTCACCGTGTGCGTTTCCAGGAATCAAACTCAGGTCATCAGGCGTGGCAGCAAACACCTTTATCCACTGAGCTATCCCGCTGGCTCTAGCCGTGTAGTTCAGGCTGCCCTCAAACTCAAGATCTTTCTGCATCTGCCTCTTCAGTATATCCTACTCACATGTATCACCACAACTGACTTAAAGTGTATGCATTATTTAGCTGAGGAAGAGGTTCAGTGAATATAATATGTGTAAAATGGATATAATTATTTTTAAGTCAGTAGTTCCTCTTCTGTCAAGAATAGTAAACTTCTAGCTCCAATTTGGTCAAGAACATTTTTAAAGAGAGCCATTTTTCTTTTGAAGTTTGTTTGCTGTTTTGAACATTAATAATTACTTTTCTTAAGCTGGATGTGGTGGTACAGACTTTTAATCCTAGTGCTTGGGAGGCCGAGGCCGGCAGATCTCTGAGATTGAAGCCACCCTGATTACATAGGGAGTTTCAGGCCAGCTAAGGCTACAGGGAGACCTTGTCTCAACAAAACAAAACAAAAATTTTAAAAATTACTTGTCTTTTACTTTAAGATGTCAGAAACTTAAAAATGTATAAAACACAGAGTGAACATTCTAAGAAGACATGTTCTTGTAGTATAGTCTTTAATACTGCTAGTCTTTCAAATTAATGTAATAGGAAAAGCTGACTTCACTTTTTGTGTTGCTCCTCACCTCCCATACTCTCTTGTTTTAAGCTGGATTACTGTGCAAGTTTGAAGAATCTTGAAACCATTTCTAACAAACAAAACTACAAATTTATACAGGTATGGAAGTTTTGTTACAATTGTTTTACCATGCTTCTGAAGTCATTCAGAAATTACAATCTTTCTGTGTTCCAAATATGTGAAAGGTCTTGGAAGATACATTCATTAAAGATCAAGTAATTTCCTGAATGGCACATGATATAAAGAATTCCACTTTTAGATTAATAGCACATAAAAAGCTACATAGGAGATTTGGTTCCTTGGCAAATGTATGAATAGCTGACCAGATATATGAACCAACCTTCATCTGAACATCACATGTACTGTAATTTTGGTTAGTGGTGATAAAATGCATTTTCCGCTGGGTGTGGTGGTGCACGCCTTTAATCCCAGCACTCAGGAGGCAGAGGCAGGTGGATCTCTGAGTTCAAGGCCAGCCTGGTCTACATAGCAAGTTCCAGGACAGCTGGGGCTACTGGGAGACCCTATCTCAAAAAGACAAAAAAAGAAAGAAAAATGCATTTTCCAATGTTCCAGCTGTTATACTTTAAATTGTTTTTTAATGGTTGTCTGAATGGCTTTTTTGTTTTTTTGTGCCAAAACACTTTCCTAATCTTAGTTTTATAAGAATGTAATGAAAGCCAGCACAGTATTTAGCAAAAGTTGGTTGTCAATGGAATATTGTTTGACACATTTGCAAAAATGTTTTAAATTTAATATCGTGTGTTCTGAGATGCTGAATAACCACATTGTTATTATGTTTGCTACTTGATTGACTTCAAGACATTCTCTACTGAACTTGGGGGCTGAGAAATGGAGGGGTGTTAATGTAAAACTGCTTATTGTGAATGCAAATGTACACTAAAAACTAGTCCTTTCATGTTTGCTGTTTCTATTAGGGTGACATTTGCGATTCTCACTTTGTGAAGCTGCTTTTTGAAACGGAGAAAATAGATATAGTACTACATTTTGCTGCTCAAACACATGTAGGTAAGCACTGTTCTATGTTGAGGTTGTGACTGCCATTTTCTTCCCTAGTGAGTAACTAGCTTAAATCCAAAATCCAGTAATAGGGTTGAATAAGTAGGCCCTTAGTGTGATCTTTGAAAGAAGACACACATACTATACCAGAAAAACAAGCCGTCGACATAGTACTATGTCATTAGTAGGACTGGGACTTTTTATAGATCACTTTTATTAGTGTATGCTGAAGTAGAACATTGAATCAACTCTCCCTCTTTGTCCCTCTCTCTTCTCTCTTTTCTCTCTTTTCTCTCCCTTCTCTCTTCTCTCTCCGGAGTCTCACTGTGCAGGCATTGCTGGCCTGACACTCACTGTGTTGACTGGGCTAGCCTTGAACTCACAGAGATCCACTTGCACCTGCTTTCCAAGTGCTGGGATTATAGGCGTGTGCTATCACACCCAGCTTAAACATTGAATGTCTTTAAAAACTCTGTTGAATATATCTTAAAAACTCTGAGTTGAATCAGATTCAGAATAGTTGTTATTTCTGAAGAGAAGGGATGAGATGAGCCCTCAACTCCAGCTTTATGCTTTTTTTTCAGTTGAGTGGTAGGTACACTGATGAACATTATATTATCTGTCCCATTTTGTACATTAGAGATATTTTTAAGTATTTCACCTAACATTTTCACTGGAGATCATAGCATGTACTCAGAAGAATTTAGAAGTAGTTAAATGAATAATCATAATGTGAGCACCCATGTAGCCATCACCCCAGCCAAAGGCAGTGCTGCTGAGTCCTCTGTGTTAGTGGGGTGACTGCAGCCGTGTCCTGCTAGTTGAAACCTGTGAAATCCTTTGCTTTTCTCTACAGTTTTGCTGCCTACATGTTTATCACCAAACATTGTTTTTTAATTTGGAATGTTTTTAAATCTTGTATTGCAGATGAGCGCACATGCACACACACCCACGTGTCTTTTTTTGTCAATTTCTTTTCATGTGAGTTCATCTGGGTAGTTGGATGTAGGTAGTTTGTTCATTCTCTGTGCTGTCTAATATTCCAATTTCAGAGTACTCCACAGTTACAAATTTTATTCTTGATGGACATTTGGGTTGTTTACACTTCTGAGCAGTTTTAAACAATATGCCGTGAACTTTGTTCATATATCATGTGCTTTTAAGTACACATTCTGATACCTATCCAGGATCATAAGACTTAATACTTCAGTAGTCAGGCCATTGCAGACTGTTTTCCAGAGAGCTTCCACTGATCTCCATTCTTCAGGAATGTGGGGTTTTTGTTCCAGGTCTCACCACAGCTTAGTTTTCTTTCCAAACTTATCACTGTTTAGTGGACTGTTATGTCTTTAAATTATGTCTTCCCAAGTTATTAGTAAAATCTTGTGCTTTTTGTGTTTTTCGATAACTTGGATTTCTTTTATGAACTACTGTTGAAATCATTTGTCCACTTTTAAAAATAACCTATTTACCTTTTTCTCATTGAAATATCTTTTAAAAAATTAAAATGTATTTTTATTTTTAATTACGTATATATGTATGGGATGGGTGCGTGGGTATGTGTACATGAGTGTGGGTCCCCTAGGAAGCCAGAATTATAGAGTGTTTGTGAGTCAACTGATGCGGTTGCTGGGCATTGAACTCAGGTGCCCTGGAAAACCAGTTTGTGCTTTTAACCACTGAGTCAGCTCTCCAGCCCTCATTTAAATATCTTAACAAGAAATATTTCAGTAAGAAAAATGAGTAGTAATCTCTTGTATATTTCTGGTGAGCCAAACCTTTATGAAGCGATCTTTTGGGTGTGTGTGTGTGTGTGTATGTGTAGCTGTGTGGGCACATGCAGAGGCCAGAGGAGGATGTAGGGTGTCTTCCTTTTTTACTTTCTGCCTTACTCCCATGAGACAGGTAGGTGTGTGTGTGTGTGTGTGTGTGTATAGCTGTGTGGGCACATACAGAGGCCAGAGGAGGATGTAGGGTGTCTTCCTTTTTTACTTTCTGCCTTACTCCCATGAGACAGGATCTGTTGCTGAACCTGAAGCTCACTGGGCTAGTCTGTTTTGCCAGTGAATTCCTGGGATTCACCTCTCTCCATCCCCCAAATGTCGAGATTATAGGCACATGCAGCCATGCCCAGCTTTTACATAGGTTCTGAGATTTCAACTCAAGTCCTGATGCTTACACAGCAAGTGCTGTTACCCACCGAGCCATCTTGCCAGCCCTGAAGTGATCCCTCTTCCTTGCCGATGTGTACTGCCTTGAAGTCCTTTGGTTGACATGGATGTGGTTGTTTCATCTCATGATGTCTTTTTCCATAGTTTTATTTCCAGCACTTTCTCTGTCTTCATGGTTTAGCTTGTGTGTTGGGCAAGCATTCTACGATTGAGCTACATCCTCAGCCTAGAATTTGCTTTTTAAAAGAGGCTGTTGGGATCATCCTTGATATTTATCCTCTGCTTGCCTTATTAAGGAATTAATTGCGGAATTGTTCATATTTTCTTTTTCTCCCATTACTAGCTTAGAAGTTGTATTCTGTTTGTTAGTCACCTTACATAGTGTAATTAGCTTTTCAAAGTGTAAAGTCCCCAAACCTTTGCTCTCTTCCCAGGTCATGCACTTTAAATGTTTATTCTCAACTTTGTTTTCAATTGATTTTAACTTTACCATGTGTAATTTTGTTTTTCAGTTCCACTAGACATCATTCTTGCTATTTTCTATAGTAGGATTTTGTATAGTCAATATTCATGTATATTTGAGCTTTGCAAATGATAATTTTCTAATTATGTCATTTATTCTTCACTTCTATGCCAAATAGCCATTTATAAGCAAGTTTTCCTCATAAATTATTGGGGTACATTTTATTTCTCTAAGTTCAGATATTTTTCCTACTTTGTCCTGTGTCCTTTAATTTTATTTCTAGTTTAAATTTGTTTTTGTTTTCTTTGTTTGGGTATTCTGCAGATTAAACCCAAGCAAAGACTCTACTTTTGCCCTATATCCCCAGCCAGCCTTTCTCTGCTTTTTAACAAAGTTTGACAGCAAGTTACATGCGTGGGTATACTCAAGGGTCCCAGGTTATATAGCCTTGGGTCTCTTTATAGAGTCTAAAAAAAGGAGGAGGGGCTGGAGAGATGTCTCAGTGGTTAAGAGCACTGGCTGCTTTTGCAGAGGACTCAGGTTTGATTCCCAGCACCTGCATGGCAGCTAACAACCATCTATAACTCCAGTTCCAGGGGAATCTGACACGGTCTTCTGACCACCGTGGGCATTGCATGACATGGGTGCACTTACATACATGCAGGCAATATACTCATACACATAAAAATAATAAATAAAATATTTTTTAAAAATAAAAAAAGGAGGAGCTGATAAAGGATGGTTCTCTGTTTTGATTGACGTTAGGGCATATCATTTTTCTTACTTTGCATGTCCCTTCTCATGATGCATCTGATTTGAGTCATATGGATGCCCAATTATTCATTGGCATAAAATGATGAATAGGAAATAGTGCTGGATAGCTTTAGTGTCAACTTGACACACCTGGTTTGAGGGAGCCTCAATCGGGGAATTGCCTCTATTGGACTGGCCTGTGGCCATGTCTGAGGAGCATCTTCTTGATGAGTGATATGGGAGGACCCAGCCCACTGTGTGTGGTGCCACCCCTGGGCAGGTGGGCCTGTGTTGCATAAGAAAGTAGGCTGAGCAGGGGCCAAGGGAGCAAGCCAGTAAGCAGCATTCCTCCATGGCCTGTGCTCCAGCTCCTGCCTCCAGGTTCCTGCCCTGAGTTCCTACCTTGGGCTCCCTGATGAACTGTGACCTGGAAGATGTAAGACAAATAAACCCTTTCCTCCCCAAGTTGGTACTGGTCAGAGTGTTTTGTTACAGCAATGAAGAAATAAACTAGGACAGAAATTTTCTCTAAAATTCACTTAGAAGACAGTTTGCCTTACTGTTCATGTACCCCAAAGCAATTCAGGCTAGATTGGCCTTTCAGTTTTTGTACCCAGATACATTATAAATATATTTGAATAGAAACTGCCTAAATTTGTCATTAGAGGTGGAGAAGCATGTACTTTGCTCAGAGTGTGGTATACCATAGCCTAATGCAGAAGGGGCAGCTGTCTGAGGGAGTTTTGAGCTGCTGGGTACCAAATACAATATTAGGAGAGGTGGGGTGTACATAACCAAAATCAAATAAAGTCTCAGCCTACTAAGCTTTACCCTATGCTTGCCTGTCTCTCCAGCACTTAGGAAGTCAGCAGCTCAAGACTGGGCCAGTGAGATGGCTCCGTGAGTAGAGGTGCTTGCTATGCAAACTTGATAACCTGAGTTCGATCCCCAGAACCATATAATGAAAAGAGAAAACAACTCCACAAAGTTGTCCTTTTACCTCCATATGTGATCTGCAGCACATGTGCCTCCACACATACATACATTATGTGCATGCATCTACACACACACACACAAATAATAATAAAGTAGTTAATTTTTTTTTAGGGTATTCAGGGTCATGCTCAGCTATATAGTAAGTTTGAGGCCAGCTTAGACTATGTAAGATTGTGTCTCCAAAAATGAAACAAAACCAAAAAACCACTCATATATATCGACATATATCTATGTTATTTCTTAAACCTATTGCAGGCATAGTGAGTAAAGAGAAGCAGTCTTTAGAATCTTAGTTCAAGTCATGTAGTAGTGCACACTTTTGATCCCAGCATTCGGGAGGCAGAGGCAGGCAGGTCTCTGTGAGTTGGAGGCCAGCCTGGTCTACATAGAAAGTTCCAGGCCAGCCAGGGCTACATACTGAGACCCTCTTTCAAAAACAGAAACAAAAACCCTGTATCCATTGTTTGGTATTTGTTTTTCCCATGAGTGGACTTGTTACAGCTCTTCTCTTCATCTTTTAGACCTTTCATTTGTCCGTGCCTTTGAGTTTACATACGTCAATGTGTATGGCACTCATGTTTTAGTGAGTGCTGCTTATGAAGCTGGAGTGGAGAAATTTATTTATGTCAGCACAGACGAAGTGTATGGAGGCAGTCTTGATCAGGTAAGCTAGAAAATGTATACTTTTTTTAAAAAAATATTTTATTTTATGTGTATGAATGTATTGCCTGCATGTATGTGAATGCACCCATGTTGTGCATTGCAGCAGAGGTCAGAAGAGGGCATCGGATTCCCCTGGAACTGTAGTTAGGATGGTTCATAGCTGCCATGTGGGTGCTGGGAATCGAACCTGGGTCCTCTGCAAGAGCAGTCAGTGCTCTTAACTGCTTAGCCATCTCTCCAGCCCCGAAAAGTGTATATATTCTATGTACTTACCACATACTGTGATAGAAGTCTGTCTTGTTAAATTAATTGTGGGCTTTTCTGTGCTCTAATTATATGTATTGTGTCACCCTCCAAAAGTTTACTTCATTGTCCCTTTTGTTCAAATCAAATGATACAGTTCAAATGGGGAGCAGGCTAGCGTTGATACACATTATTTGGGCTTTCTGAGTCAGGGTCTGCCTGTAGCCCCAGCTGGTCTGGAATTCACTATGCTGGGATTAAAGGCGTGCACCACCACTACTAGCCTTGACTGTTTTGTAACACAGCAGATCTCATGTTTTTGTCTCAGTCTTAAACCATGATAAATGTCATTCCCGTGGGCCAAAGCATAATATGTTACTGTAGCATACTCCTGCTCATCTTTCTCTTTGGGGCAAGAAAACATGTTAGAATATCAAAGGGTATATGTGAAATTGCTCAAACTGGAATTTTCTTTCATTGTTGTTTTTGTTTTTGACACAGTCTTGCTGTGTAGCCCAAGCTGGCCTGGAATTCTCTATGTTGCTCAGGTTGGTCTCAGACTCATAATCCTCCTGCTTCAGCCTCCTGACTGCTGGTATCACAGGGGTATACCACCACACCTGGCCTTTGAAATAATTCCTAATTATTGTAGTCTGTAGTTTTCTTTCCTTCCTTTTGAATGTATTTCCTATTGGTAAGTAAATAACAGGCTTTGGCAATAGCTCAATGGTCAAATGCTTGCTTAGCATGCAGGAAGCCCTGGGTTTGATCTCCAGCACTGCAAGAAAGCAAAAGCCTTATAGTATAAATATCTATACAATTAGATACAATGGCCCTGAAATTAAGAAGGTACCAAAGAGAGGGTTCAAAAGAATCTATGTACAGGTAACAATTATTAGATATTTACTTATTATAATTGTCTGTACAATTAACATTTTAGGATGGTAATGTGATCTTCTGCCATATTTAAAGGATAACTGCAGTCAAAAAATGAAATTATGTAGAAAAGAATGTGATTCTCATATTTCTGTAGTTTAAATTTTTATTTATTTATTTTTAGTATATGTGTGTGTGTGTGTGTGTGTGTGTGTTTTGCCTGCATGTAAGTGTACCACAATGTGTGTGGAATGCCCCTGGAGGCCAGAAAAGGGTGTTGGATCCCCTGGAACTGAAGTTATGGAGTTAGCAACCATGTGGGTTCAGAGAACTGACTCTGGTCCTCGGGGAGTACAGCAAGTCCTCTTAACCCCTGAGCCATCTCTTGAGCCTAGTGGGTGGACACTTTGAGTAGTGAATCTCAGAATATCCCAACAATAATGGTCAGGCAACTGCGCCAAAGTTTCCAAGGACAGTGACTTGTCTACCTAAGCAAATTGTAAAGAAACTTTATCTAGGCCTGCCTGGTGTCACGTGCTTGGTGGCACAGGCCTATAATCTCAGTTACTTAGGAAGATGAGGCAAGAGGATCACAATTTAAAGGCCTGCCTGGGAGATGGAATGTGTTCAGGGCCAACCTGGGTAACTCAGTAAGACTTTATCTCAAAAAAAAAATTTTTTTTAAGGCCTGGGAATATAGGTTTGATATAATGTGGTCTCCAATTAGCCCAGTAATTTCATCTCCCATTTCCCACACACCATTTTTTAGGACCTCTGTACTTGCTCTTTTCATAAATAGGGTTCAAGAGGTTTTTTGTTTTGATTTGGTTCTTGTTTCGTATTTTTTGTTTGTTTGGTTGTTTGGTTTTGCGTTTTTTGTTCATTCTATGTATTTATTTTTTTTGAGACAGGTGGTAGAGCTAGCTTTGAGTTCTTGATTCCCCTTACTCCAACTCCCAAGTGCTAGAATTATGGATGTGAACCACCAGAGCAAGAAATGGCCTCTTAAATGTAGTGATTGACATTTCAAGCTTTAATATAATAGGGTTTTTTATTTTGTTTTAGTGTGCGTGTTTAAGTGCGTGTGTGTGTGCATGCCTGCGTGTGCATGCACATGTGTGTACACGCATGCTGGGATTAAACCCAGGTCCTCACAAATGATAGGCAGTCTGCCACTAAGGCATCCACACCCTATCCTTTATGATATGTTTTCTACTTAGAAAGTATGTGTAGTACTTATTTTTCAAAGGTATCATTTTAAAATTAGGAATTTGATGAGTCCTCACCCAAACAACCTACAAATCCATATGCTTCATCTAAAGCAGCTGCTGAATGCTTTGTACAGTCTTACTGGGAACGATACAAGGTAAGAACTGATTTCTGAAACTTTAAAATATTTTATTTATCATTTTATTTAATGTATATTAGTGTATTGCCTGCATGTAGGTGGATGCACTCATGTTGTGCAGTGCCTGTGGAGGTCACAAGAGGACATTGGGTCTCCTGGAACTGGAGTTTATGGATGGTTGTTACCCACCATATGGGTGCTGGGAATGGAACCCAGGTCTTCTACAAAAGCAGCCAGTGCTCTTAACTGCTGAGTCATCTCTCCAGCCTCTGATTTCTGAAGTTAAAAAAAAAATTTTAAACATTTTTTTCCTGTGTGCATTCGTATATGTGTGTATGTGTATAGCTCATACATTCTATGGAGTGTATAGGAGTCGGGTCTCTTTCCATGTGGGTCAGGACATCAGGCTTGGCAGCAAGTGTTTTTACCTGTTGAGCCATCTCACCAGCCTTGATTTCTGAAACTCTTGAATCATTTACCTTGGGCTTAAGTTTTAAAGTTTCAAGTCAGCTTTGGAATAGAAGACCTAGCTAGAGAAAACTTATATAGTAAGGGCTTAGAAATACTGATATCTTACTCTGTATGGACAACAAAAGTCCTACCTCTTGTTCAGTTCATCATGAAAGCACTAACTTGAAAATATGTTTATTCGTATTTCAGTAATAGAGTTAGAGTGTTACGGGTCTAGTGAAAATCCCCATGGAAATCCTCTGAGTGGAGGGAAACAGAGGAAGGCAGATTCCCTTTCTGGCTGTTGCTTTTCTCTGCATGATTCAGCATTCTTGGATCCTCATAGGGAGAGAGACCTGACCTGGTAGCTCTAACCATGTTAGTCTGGGAGCTTCACCCAAACAGGAGCCATCAGCTCCAGTGCTGTACACTTGTCTTCCTACTGACCATTGTAGGTTATTAGGCGCTGAGTTAGAAAGGCAAGCCAAAGAATTCTTCAGATTCTCTTACTTTTTGTGGTGGCCCTTTTTACGTAAGGGTTGATTCAATGGAGAACACAAACTTGATGCTTACCATCCTACCATCTAACTAAACATAGAGTACTAGAAGTGGTCTTGGAAACAATTGAATAGAAGGTCCTCAGTGTTCTTTCGGACTTCCTTCCAGCCCTGCCTCTATATCTCCATCTCCATCCATCCTCCTCATGTCTCAGTAAAAAAAAGGTTCCTCTTCCTTTTGGATCCTCTGCCTTTATCTGAGTCCCACCCTCTCCTGCCAGTTATTTAGTTATTTATTAACTGGCTCTTACTATATAGCCTAGGCTGACCTTGAACTTGAAATCCTTCTGCCTTAGCCGCATGAGTGTTAGGATTGCAAGTGTGTACCATCAGGCCTGGCACTCTCTCTCTCCCTTCCTCCCTCCCTCTCTTGCTCCCCCTCCCTTTTAATGTCGAAGTCTCTTCATTGTCTTCATTCTGTGCTTAGGATGTATGGAATTTTTTAGGCAAAGATGTCTGTATTTGAAAACTTTGCATATCTTTAGGATAATCCTAATTGTTGCGCCCTTCCTTGTTATTCATGTTGGACATTTACCCTTAAGTTTCCAGTTGTCATCACCAGAAGCAGTAATGTTTATGGACCACATCAGTATCCAGAAAAGGTAAATTTTACTTTGAAATTTGTAGTAGTTTTTAGTGATTGTAACTTCTCAGTATTTGAAATAATCTCTTATCAGTTATTTGTCTAAAGTAATTTACATTGTAATTATACATAATTATGTGTTCTGTGTAGGCTGCATGCAGATCTCATCAGACTTAAAGTTTGAAGAGTCAAAGTATCATCACAGGCCTGCTGTGGTGGTTCCTTGATTGTCTTTAAGTTGGGGATGATTGGGCTGGAGAGCTGGTGCAGCTGTTGAAGGCTCAGGCTCACAACCAAAAGTTGAGGGGTGATGAAAACACTTAGGATTTTTAAGGGTCCAGTGGGAGGACACATGTGGGCATGCGTTGTTTTCTTAAGATGCTAACATATGTTAGCATGCCCCCATTATTCCACGGTTTAGCATGGTGACTGTGGCTACAGTTAGTCTGATTGTCCAAATATACAGAAAGCTAAAAGCTCCTTAGGTAGTCATGTGGAAGGCTTGTACATCAATTTGTCTTATGGTTAGTGGGTTTCCTGTGCCCCAGCTCATTTTACTGTGACATACCTGAATGTCTCCCAGAAAGCAATGCAGATAGCAAATAAAGAGATGTAGTTAAATGGCTGAAAATGCCTGGAGTTGGTTCTGTATCAATAAGCCCAAGGTTAGGTGACTGTTTCCCACCCTGCCTGAACGTGGAGACTTCATTACTTGATCAGTTTACTCAAAGGAAAGGCATATATCATGGTGTGCTGGTGTTAATAGTTAAGTTTTGGAGTATCCTTAGCAGATCTCATATAAATTGAGTTATCTCTTATTTCCCTGCTTAACTCTTCTTTGAATCCAATGACTCTGGAAATACATTAGCACTTAACTGAGTGGGTGCTTATACTTGAAGTAGTAAAGTGAGGTATGATGCCTGTCCTGTGGGAAGAATCACCTGCACAGGCAGCTTGTGCTGGCAGAGGCTTCCTCTGAATTCCTGATGTTCATTTCCTTTCATCATCAGGTAGCTGGCTTTTATGAAGTAACAAACTATTTTATAGTTCTTTATCAAATATTATAGTTTTTCATATATTTTGGTTAAAAGAATTAGAATGTATTCATATCCATATTTATTAATAATAATTTTTAATCTTACGGGTTTAAATCATATTGATGAGTACATTTCCAAAATCTGAAATGACATTTAAATATTCTTCTAGGTTATTCCAAAATTTATATCTTTGCTACAACACAACAGGAAATGGTATGCTATTATTTGCCTTTGAACCCACATGCTTTCTGCTCTGTTGATAGTATTTGTTAGCAATTTATTTAGAAAACCATAAAATCTTACATTCAGAAGCTGTCTTAAAATGTACTGCCAAATTTAAGAAGTGTTTCTTCATTTAATGTGATAGTTTTTCAATAGTTAAAATTCATCTCTATAATTTACTGAGGTGACTAATGAGATGGGCTCAGTAGGGAAAGGTGCTTGCCACCACCCTGACAATCTGAGTTTGATCCCCAGGACCCACATGGTGGAAGGAAAGAACTGACTTCTTCAAGTTGTCACTCTGTCCTCCACACAGGTGCCATGATGCACATAGCCCCACCCCATAAATAAATAAGTAACATATAATTTACTAAGGTAAATTCTTAAATTATCTGTCGTGGAACTTTGAATTATGGAATTAAAATTTAACTTCAGTATATAATTTTATGTTTTCAAAGGATTAATGTGATTCATAGAACTATAGACTTTTTTTCCTTTTTTGTTTCTGGAGATTGGTTTAATGTAGGGCCTTGCACATTTGAGGCCGGCACTCTGCTAGTGAGCCATAGCTCTAGCTGCTCTCCCCCCATCCTGGCCCATCCTGGGTTTTTTTTTTTCTTTTTTACTTTTTTCAGTTGCTCAGGCAGGCCTTGAACTTGGGATCCTCTTGTCTCAGCCTGCCAAGTAGCTGAAATTACAATCCTGTGGTACCCTGCCCAGCTGCCATAGTTCTTCAAAATGATTTTATGATACAAAATTGACAAATATTTCTTAGGGGTCCATGATTTCCGTTCTTTAAAATTAAGAATCTTCAGAAGGTTTGGACATCATTTAAGAAATGAGGATAAAATTTAAGGGAGTTATGTTTTCAGGAAAAGGTTTCCAGGGCTCCTATGGGAACTGGCTTCTCAGGAGTTACACACAGTCTTCACTTTGTTCTGCTTTGGGGAGCTTACTTTTTGCACTTTATAATTCTGCTCCATTTAATCTGTTCAGCTGTATTCATGGATCAGGGCTCCAAACAAGAAATTTCCTTTATGCTACTGATGTCGTGGAAGCATTTCTCACTGTTCTCCAAAAGGGAAAGCCAGGCGAGATTTATAACATCGGAACCAATTTTGAAATGTCAGTTGTCCAGCTTGCCAAAGAACTGATACAGCTGGTATGTATCTGTTGTAAAAGGGTGATGTTTATAAAATTGTCACCAAATTACTGATGGCAGTCATGAATTTAGAGTCAGTAGTTTACCATTTAGCTCCTTTACAAATAAACAGATGGAAACATAAATTCATAATTATGTATGTCATTTGTGTCTTCATGTGAAATAGTGTCACTCCATCAGGAAAAAAATATATGTGCACACTCTAATTGTAAGGTATACCTCAGTTTCTGAAATATGAAATTGTATTGTCATAGAATCAGAGCAATGATACATAAAGTAATTGTGAATATACAGCATGAATTATAAATCTTAGGGTTTAGGAGAAAGGGGACCAAGTAATAACCAAAAGTCAGGAGGTATGTTTTCTCCTGTGGTTTATATAATGCGTATTCTTTCTGAGCTTCAGATGGAAAGTAGGTTGTACTATAGAAAGCATTCCACCCTCTCCCCCTTCCCGGTTTGAGGTAGTTGTCTTTCTTGTCTGTTTTTATCAGCTCTTAAATACTATTGTTCTGTGGTCTCATTTGGTAATTTGACTCAGAAGCCTTCTTCATTTTGACAGATCAAAGAGACCAATTCAGAGTCCGAAATGGAAAATTGGGTTGATTATGTTAATGATAGGTGAGTAACAAGTTAAAACATTGGGGGAAGATTGGGAAATATTAAGTACTTATAAAATTATAAATTATATAAACTTGCCTGAAAAATACTTTATCTCTTTTGAATTTTTTGACAAATTTTTATTCCTAATTATAAATGTCATATAGATTAAGGATAGCACTGTTATTAGCCATATGATTTAAAGAAAGTTACTGACCCTTTCTAAGTGTGAGGTTTTCTCCATTGTAAAATCAAGATCATATCTTCTTATAGAAGTTAAATTTTAAGGTTTAATTATAATGCATACAAAGCACCTTGCCCCAGGCCTGATACCTAAGACTCCTAAGTTTTTATATGTTCTAAGTTTTGCCTGTATTTATATGATTTATTTCTTCATTTATCAAACATTTTGTTAATTTTTTCCAGGAGTGTATTTAATTCCAGCACTCTGGAAGCAGAGGTGGATCTCTGAGTTCAAGGCCTACTTTTTATACCGAGTTCCAGGCCAGCCAGGCCTACATAGTGAGATTCTGACTTAAAGACAGCAAAAACCAACCAACAAAACAAATAAGCAAACTCTATTAATTTTCTTCTTCTGTGTCTCAGGACCTGGCTTTACATAAATTGTGGCTGAATACATTATTAAAAGGGTAAACCACAGAGAAATGTCAGGTATTGAGGGTCATGGATTTTTGAAAATGTATATTTTATAACAATTTTCAACAATAAGCATGTCCCAGAGCAGTTTTGTTTTTTTCAAATGTAAATTGTGATAAAAATGTACCTTAATTAAATGTGTAAATATAGATCCACAATGTCCTTTTTAATCCCTTTTGCTTTCTAAGGCCTACCAATGACATGAGGTATCCAATGAAGTCTGAAAAAATTCACAGTTTAGGATGGAAACCCAAAGTGCCTTGGAACGAAGGAATAAAGAAAACAAGTACGTTATAAATTGATCACTATGGAGTAATTCAGAAAGCTTAAAAAGAAAAACCAATTCATTTTAGAAACTGCACAAAGCCAGCAGAATATTGTGAGGGCTATCTACACTTTCCAAATGATTACATTTAACTTATTTCTTTTAATAAATTGTTTTTATTATTTTTATTTTGTGTGTGTGTGTGTGTGTGTGTGTATGAGTGTATCACCTGATGTGTGTAAGTGCACTATGTCATGCAGTGCTCACAGAGGTCAGAAGAGGGTGCTGGATCCCCTGAAAGTCGAGTTATGGTTGTTAGCTGCCATATGGGTGCTGGGAACTGAACCCAGGTCCTCTGCAAGAGCAGCCAGTGCTCTTAATCACTGAGCCATCTCTCCAGCCCACATTTAAGACATTTCTAACAATAGTCTGTTTCCTGAATGTCTTGAATTTCATGGACTTCTCTTTTTTTAAAATATATTGTTATTTAATTTTTGTGGATTTTATGTGATACATCTTAATCATATTTAGCCCCTCCCCCCAAACCCCTTCCCATAGCCTGCATTTTGTCATCTATATTAAGGCCTGTCGAGTCATGTTTGTGTACATAGATGTCCTTTGGTATGAGTTCATCCACTGGAGTCCGTTCAGCCTGTCTAGAGTCACTCCCTTAAAGATCAACTCTCCCTCACCCACCAGTGTTTAGCTGCCAATACTTTCTTGCCAAAGTGGTGGCCTCCTGCTCATTTCCTCAGTTCTGTGCTGGTTTTTGTCTGCTTGAGTTTGCATGGGTCTTGTGCATGCTGTCACCATTGCTGTAAGTTCATATAAGCTAGGTCCCAGGAGCCTATAAGACTGTTTCCTTATGGTCACACACCTCCTCCCCTGGTTTTTTGGGCCTCTTTTGTCATGACCTCTGAGCCCTGTGTGGGTGAAGTTCAATATAGGAGTCCTGTCCAGAGACCCACATTCTGTAGTCTCTTATTCTCTATACTTTGGGCAGTTGTAACCTTCCATGTTCATTGTATCACCCTCTGTTGCATGAGGAAGCTTCACTGATGAGAATTGAGAGATGTATTAGTATGTCTCTACCCTTGTTCCACTATGTTTTGATTGGTCTTCCTATAGCTTATTGGTATAAATTCTGGGGTGTGCATTTCTTCATTTTCTTCCTATTCTTGAAGTGTGTGTGTTTTATATAACACCTTATAATTCCTAATGCCACTTTTTTTCTGTCTCAATGATCTATAAAATAGTGGACCATATTAAGATCAGTGGTGGTATCTATTCTTTGAAGAAATGTCTTGGATCCTTTTATGTTGAAATAAATAGAAGCAAATTGAGTGCATACAGAAAAAAATTCTAGTAAAATAATTATAACATGTACACACACACACACAAACAAACAAAAAGGTTATATATACATAAAAAGCTTTTGGCTAGGTGTAGTGACTCACACCTTTAATCCCAGCAGGTACAGGCAACTCTGTGTGTTTGAGGACTGTCTCAGGAAAACACCAACAAACTATTTTGAAATAGAGTCATAGGAAAAAAATCTCCCCAAATGTACAAAAAAGTTCTTGATTCAAAACTTGAAATACAAAATACTTGAGTCAAATATTAAAAAGCAAAAGCAAAGATAACTTTGGTTTCTTAACTGTACTTAGGTTTCTTAACTAAAAAAACCTTATAGTGATAGTATATAGCATAAAATAACTTCATATATTAGTAGAAAGATCACATCATTTCACTCTGCTTCTGGTACAGTATTACCATATTGAAGGAACAAGTATTTTTTTCTATAAAATAACTTTTAAGACCAGTATAAATGACATATTTCCCCTGAAATTGCTTACAATCAGAATGTCTTCAACACTGATACCTGGTAGTTTCATTGCTAAAGGACTTTTGCAATTAAACAGAAATAGAATGATTTATTAATTCTAAGATTTTTTAGGTGATGTGTTATCTGCTGGTTACTTGAAGGGCAAGACTTTGCTGACGTAGCAGAAACTCAGTAAATGCTGGCTAATTGATACTTGCTTTTTCATTTTTATTGTTTTTGATTTTCCTGCCAGTTGAGTGGTACAGAGAGAATTTTCATAACTGGAAGAATGCAGAAAAGGCATTGGAACCCTTTCCAGTACAGCCGCCGTTTATATAATTGCCACTGTTTCAGAGAAGGAAGAAAAAGTAACCCTACCTCAACAAGTGAAATGAAGTGGCCAGGTGATTAATGACTTTCTGAACTGAATTCAAATGCAAAGTTTTCTGAAGAGTTTCAGTATCGGCACAGACACTTCATTTTGGTGTGAGAGTTCCTTCAGCAAACTTCTGCAGCTGAGGAGAGAGCAGTAGAGCAGACTCATGCTGCCGTGGGCCAGCGAGGAATCTCCTGGACCTGAGAGCAGAGACACCAGGGCGTTGGCTGGAGGGCAACCTGGGCTGCCTTAGAACCTGAACTTCTCAGGTTGAGTGATGGAGAATGACTAGTATGCTCTGACTCTGTGTTTTTAAAGGTCTGATGTGCTAGAGTTGCTTTAAAATGGAGCAAAGTGGAAGCATATCTAGCACTTTTTAACTTTTGATAATTTTGTAAAATTAAGGAAACTGCTTTTTAAATAGGGTGGAAAATTTTTGTATTTTTGAAATCAGTTGATTTATATATAACCTGTATCAGAAATTTTATCATGTATTTACTGTTCACAATGGTTTTATTTATAAAAGTGTCTATATTTTAATATATTTAATGTATAATGTGGCTTTTTTAGCAATGTATTTTTATTTTGTTGTAGAAAATTTTTTTTAATCATGTGTTTTTTTCATCTCTTTTCCCTAAAGACTTTAAGGTTGACTTGAGAAAGTAACTGAATGGAAGTGGGTAGACAAAGAAAAGTGTTGCCAGGTTACACTCTATTATGAATGTAGATTTTAGACCAGGCTGCCTGGTGAGACCCTGTCTTAAAAAGAAAGGATCGAGATAAAGGTGTCGCAGATAAAGGTGCTCGCCCCCAAACCCGAGAACCTGAGTTTGATCCCCAGAACCCAAATGGTAAAAGGAAAGAACCATAAGTTGTCCTCTGACCACCACACAGATGCCTCAGCATAAACACAAGCAGGCAAGCTAGGCGTGTTCGATGGTGCATACCTGTAATTCTACCATGTAGGAGACTGAGGCAGGAGGATCATGACTGTGAGGCCAGCCTGTACTACATAGTGAGACTTCATGATAAAAATATAAATAATTTATTTGACCCTTGATTGAAAAGTCCCTGATATACTTAGTAGCACCCCTTCCCATGTACACCTGAACAGGTTCTCTAGATACTTTCCCTATGTGGAGAGAAAGAGGAGCACAGCTATGTGAGTTGGGTCCTGTGAGAGGCAGATATGGAACTAAAGTAGTGCTAATAAAGGAGATGAGAGAGGAGAGAGAGAGAGAGAGAGAGAGAGAGAGAGAGAGAGAATGAAATTGGGCAGGATAGTGGTGTTGGCTAATACTGTGGAAGCAGAAAGACAACCCCATATGGAACAGACTGTTGTGTGACTCAGGCCAGCTTGCCACCAAGGAATGGTGTCTTACTGGGGCTCAGTATTTGGATGCAGCAGAGTGGGCGGCCACAGGCGGCAGTAGCTACCTTGGCATGGTAAGTGAGAATCCTTGGGGCCCAAGAGTAGGTTCCATGTCTGCTTATGCCTGTTCCACACAGGTCACTGATGAAGGCTGGGCAAAGTTAACAGCAAGTCACTTTGCTGGATTCACTGCCTCTTCCACAGTGTAACCTGTGACCACAGATCTACACACTCCCACCCTCTCCCATCCACCCATCTTCAGGCCTCCACCCCTGTCTTCCTTGTCTCTGCCTCTGTAGTCTTTTTCTTTCCAAGCCACAGCTGTCTGCCCTGAACTGAATATGGAATCTCAGTGCAGGTCACCTGTAGATGTAGTGCGTGACTAGGAGAGGCACACTACTCAAACCTCTGCCCTTTGATTATCCCTTTGTACATTTTTTATTACATTTATTTATTTTATGGGGGGCAGTGTGTGTGCCATGGGCTTGTGTGGAGGTCAGAGTACAGCTTGTGGGAGTTGGCTCTCTCTCCTTCTGCCATGTGGATCCTGGGGATTGAACTCAGGTCATGCTTTGATGGCAATCTCCTTAACCCATCCAGCTGTCTCACTGCCCTCTATTGCTTACATTCTTGTTAAAGCCACCCTTGTGTGGCATAAATGCAACCACCATGCATTTTTTAATTGCCCCCGTGTAGCAACTCATCCATTTATAAGCCAAAATGACCTTTTTCCTCCCCTTTCATTTGGTGTATAGTATCCTCCACATCGCTGGAGGTATGTGCCTAGAGGGGGGCATTGGTGTCACTAAGATAGTGACATGCCAGTCTAGCTGTCCTGCTCTTGCAGCTTAAGTCTTATCGTACCCAGGCTCTAGCTCAGATGTTCCATTTCCATCTTGTAATGGAGGGACTGCTCCTGATAGTGTGTGAATGGATGTACTGGTTGGCAGGAACCACCATCACGGCATCACAGAATCGGTGGCTTCAACAACAGATGAATTTTCTCACTATTTTGAGGCAAAAAATCTAAGGTCAAGATCGAGGTGTTGAGTTGATTTCTGAGATCTCTCTCAGCCTGTAGATGTCTGCTCTGAATTGTTTACATGATCTCTGTTCTTATATATCTGAATCTAAATTTCCCTTCTTAAATTTTTTTGGATTTATTTATTTTTCTTTTATGTATATGAGTGTTTTGCCTGCATATGTACATGTACCATGTGTGTGCAATGCCCATGCCCAAAGAGGCCAAAAGAGGGTGACAGATCTAGAACTGGAGTAACAACTGGTTGTTAGCCACCATGTGGGTGCTGGAAACTGAACCTGGATCCTCTGCAAGAACAACTAGTGCTCTTAAGTGTTGAGCTATTTCTCTTGCATTCCCTTTTTATTTTATTTTTTTAAGGACACCAGGGGTTGGGGAGGTGGCTCAGGGTATGGAACTTGCTTTACAAGCATGAAGATTTGAGTTCAAATCCCCAGCACTGGCATAAAAAACTGGGTATGGCTAATGTGCTTGTAACCCTGGCATTGGTTGAGGGGGGAGTGGAGACAGGCAGATCCTAGGAGCTACAGTGAGCTTCTGCTTCAGTAAGAGACCCTGTCTCAAGGCAATAAGGCAGAGAGGGATAGAGGAAGACAACTCATGTCCTCTGGCCTCAGCATGCACATGTGTGGGTTTGTAGAGGCTTTGTCTGCCATGCAAAGATGTTTGGACTTTATACTGCCAACAAGGAACTAATTCAAAATTTTAAAGAATGAGTTGACATGGTCAGATTTGGGAATTTATCTGGTTTATCTAATTTCAAAGATCACATTCAAACATTGCAGTAAATGAACAATTAAATGAGCTAATCTATAATCGACCACTGAAAGAAAACCTCTTAATATTTTGCTGTGTGTTCTTTTTTGTGTGCATATACAAGTTTTTAAAAACCAACTGTGAGATTAGCATGGGCATACTGTTTTGGAGTCTGCTTTCTTCCCATCAACAGTATATCATGAACATCATTACATGATATGGGAACTTTTGCTATTTTTATTGATTACAGAATTATGTTCTGATAGCTTATTCCAGAAACAGTATGGAAGATGAATTTAGGGAAGACAAGATTGAGCTCCTGAAGGCATCTGTCCCAGGAAGCTGCTGCAGTAAATCAGGCTGGTGATGCTAAGGCCTGAAGCACAGCCCTGCAAACGGGTAGAGTTGGGGACAGACAGGACTTTTAGATTAAAAAACTTCCTGATTGATGATGTGTGGAAATGCCTCTTAGCTTTGGTGGTGGTTTTTTTTTTTTTTTTTTTGGTCTTTTTGAGACAGGGTCTCCCTGTAGCCCCAGCTGTCCTGGAACTCACTATGTAGACCAGGCTGGCCTTGAACTCACAGAGATCCGCCTGCTTCTGCCTCCCAACTTCTGGAATTAAAGGCGTGCGCCACCAGGCCTGGCCCAGCTTCAGTGGTGTTTTAAGGTTTTGATTATTTTATGTGTGTGAGTGTTTTGCCTGCATGTATATATGTGTGTAATGCCTGTGAAAGTCAGAAGAGGGCATCAGATCCCCTGGAACTAGAGGTACAAATGGTTGTTAGAATTGCTACGTAGGTACTAAAAACCAAACCCAAGTCCTCTGTAAGAGTAGCCAGCTCTCTTAACCACTAAGTCATCTCTCCAGCCCCTAATTTAAGATTTTTGAATGTTAAACTGGAATGATGTTTTGGAATTGGTGGTCTTAACAAGCAAATGCTTGAATATGTGAAGCTGAAGATCAAATTAGTAAGATCTAGAGCTGTATATTTGGGGGCTAAATGACTATTAACACCCAAGAGTGGAACCTTTAAGAGGTGGGACCTAGTGGGAGGCAATTAGGTCAATGAGAGTATTCCCTTTGGCAGGCATTAATATAGTTCTCCCAGAAACTTGATTAGTTCCCAAGACAGTGAGTTATTATAAAAAGAATAAGTTCCTAAAGAGTGGCCACTGAACACCTTCTCTGGCTTCCTGTCTCACTGTGAGATCTGCTGCACACACTTTTTTACACATTTATTTGTATGTGGGGTGTGTGTGTGTGTGTGTGTGTGTGCCTGAACACCTTCTCTGACTTCCTGTCTCACTGTGAGATCTGCTGCACACACTTTTTTAAACATTTATTTGTATGTGGGGTGTGTGTGTGTGTGTGTATACACTCACATGCTATGGCACATATATGAATGTCAAAGGACAGCTTGAGGAGTTGGTTGTTTCTCTCCACCCTGTGGGTTCTGAGATCAGCTTAACTCTTTAGGCTTGGCAACAAGCACCCTTATTCACTGAGCCATCTTGCCAGCCCTACGCTACTTTGATGACATCTGCCATGAAGCCCCTCCAGAGGACCAAGTGATGGGGCTGACCCAATCATGGATTTTCAGAACTATTTATAAATTACCCAACCACAGGTATTTTGTGATAGCAATAGAAAACAGACTGAAGCAGTTGGCCTCACTGGCAAATGGTCACTTTCTGCCCCTTGTATACACTTCACTCATGTAGTTTGCTTGCCCTACTAGACTTGTAGCTCCTGGGGGTGTAATCATCTTTGCAGTCCTGGGCCTACACACTCAGCACCCCTATTTGTAGTTTTAAGGGGGCAGCGTCTTTGTCTTTGCCTTTCTCTGTTCCCCTTCACCCTTCTGCCCCTTCCTTTCTCCCATACTTATATTCATCTCTTGTTATCCCCATCCCAGGCAGAGCCCCTTGCTCTTTAATGCATCATTGTTTGATGGCATACAGCTCCCTTATTTCCTTGAATTTCACCCTTCATGAAAGAGGTAAAGTAGTTTTAGAATTCTTGTGTTGTTCCTGATAATGATGGTTTTTTGTTTGTTTGTTTGTTTGTTTGTTTAGAAAGACTTACCTTTATAAATCTGGCCCAGCTGTGAATTCCGAGAACTACAACTCCCCTGGCAAGATATATCCACTGGTGCAATAGTGGCATGAATATTAAAGAAGTGACCAATCACTCTCTAATCAGATTTAAGGTTCGCGTCCTAGAATGGAGCCCATACCAGACACTGATATCCAGCTTAGGAACCTGCGGCTAGACAGGTCATAGGACATAGGGGACAATCTAATATTAGTTTTCTACTAAACACATATAAAACTGACTCCTAATGACTTATTGTTATACCCATAGATTAATACATTGCTCAGCTCTCACTAGAGAAGTTTCCTTATGAAACCAATGATGATGACCACAGAAACCAACTGACCAACATGCAGAGAACAAGAGCCCACAGAGTGCTTATCCCTGAATAGGACATCTGTATCACACTTCTGCCTCCTAAGGCTCAGGAATTATTATGGAAGAGGGGGTGAAAAGATTGTAAGAACTGAAGGTGGTGGATGACCACGAGGAATCAGTTTTTCAGACAGCTGGTCAGTTATTCATATGAACACACAGCAGTGGTAACCTCATGCACAAATCCCATTCAAGCTCAAGCCAGACAACTCCAGCATAGACATAGGGAAGTGGGTAAGAAACCCAAACACAACCCTAAGGAAATTTTGGTAATTGATGGCTGCTGAGAGGGGCAGAGACAGTCTCAAGGATGGGACTCTTGGTAGGTTAACCAGACTCCAGTGGATGAACCCATTTTGACTCTATAGGCTATTATATATAATATATGATATATATATCATATATATTATATATAATAGAGTACATTAAATTGGGTGGGTGGTGGGGGGAATAAGGGGCTGAAGATAGGGAAGGGGATCTAAATACCATCAAATTATATTATATGAAAATCACAAAAATTCAATTAAAATTTTTTTAATTATATTTTAAAAAACAGCTGAAAGGACATGAAAGAAATATAACTTTGATCAAATAATTTCCCTGTTTAAAACAAAAGCATCTCATTGCTTTCCTGATGAAGATCAAAGTCCTCAATGATGTCTAAAAATAAAGAAGACTTCCATTTAATCCTCACTTTGTAGCTTCTTTGTAGAAACTCCTACCTTTCTGTATTTGAGTGGTTTTTCTTTTATCTTTTCTTAGCGTTAATAATAATCAGTAATTCTAGCATTCCTGTGTATATAGCTGAGCTTGTATATTAGTTATTTTCCTCAGAGCTGTGACAAAATACCTGGCAAAAGCAATTTATGGAAGGGTTTGTTTTGGTTGTCAGTTTGAGGATACAGTCTATCATGGTGGGGAAGGAAAGGTGACAGAGCACAGGTGGCTGTGCATCTGCAGTGGGGAAGCAGAGATGCTTGTTGGTGCTCAACTCACTGTCTCCTTTTTAGCCAGTCCAGAACCCCCGCCCAGGGAATGATGCTACCCTCTTTTAGGGTGGGTCTTCCCTACTCAATGAAACCTTTCATAGACACACCCAAAGGTTTGTTTCCATGGTGATTTAAATCCCATTAAGTTCACGTCAAGATTAACCATCAAAACTTGCTAGGGTCTAATTGACACACTTCATTAAAAAGACTTCGTAGTCATGGAAAATACTTTATCAATGTAACCTTTCTATCCCCAATTCAGAAACTAGGAATCCCCCTTTCACCATTTTCCCTTAGTTAAGTCAGTTTTCAGAAGCCATACTTGGCTCTTAGTCTTTTCTCTTGGCTCTTAGCCTCTCCCTTGACTGGGGTTCCCTCAAATTCAATGTCTAATAAGGTTCTACACTTGGCTTTGTTCCATCTACTGACTATTGACTTGGGGTGAAAATGTTGCTCTCTTAATGTCTAGAGTTGTGAGCATTAACTATAGCAGTTGGGAAGGAGAATACATTTCCAGGTTAAAATGCCAAGTAAAAGTGACAGAGATGTGGAATATCGATCAAATAATGTTAAATAAGCCCTTGGGAACCATCTTTCTTTCCAGAAAAAAAAAGTTTAAATGTTAACGAACAGCTCTTGAGCTTTGTCCTTTCTACACACACACAAAGAACAATAAATTTAGTTGAAAATATAAATCAAATTTTATTTGCTGAAATACCTTCCAGAGGAAAATGTCCATATTCGCCATTTGGATGTTATATATCAAATGAAAAGTCCAAGATTTAATATTTACAAAATGCATATTTCCCTTAATCTTCCACTTGGCAGATTTCCTTTTGCTTTTGCCCAGACAGCATTCTAAACAGGTATACAACCTCTGACTTAATCTGAAAATATTTCAGCTATCATAAAGAAAAATAATGTTCCACATAGCTGAAATTACATCAGTTAAAAATTCTTAGGAGTTGCAATTGT